TTATACATTTTGCATCATACTATATTATCAATGTTGTATTCTGCTTTTATTACCTATACTGTGCCTTTTTTTTTTTTACTTAGTTTTTGTTAATAAAATAGGAATTTGACAAGTAAATTTGTCACTTTGTAGAATCTAATTCTTTTGTGTAGTGAGAGGTGGAGCAGAATTGTGGATAGATTAATTTGAACTTTAACTTAAAAAATATATTTTAAGCAGTGATTTCAAAATGGTTTATTCAAAAAGGAACCTTAGAAATCATCTAGTCCATTTTCGTATTTTGCAGAAGAGCCACATTGAGTCCTAATGGATCTATAATTTGGCCAAGCTTGCCAGCTAGTTAGTTGAAGAGCTAGAAAGTCAGTTTCCTCTCACCAGGCAAAAGCATTTCCTATCACAGCACCTTATTTTCTACCCCTCATTTCCTAGTAATTTGAACTTTCGAAGTCTTTTAACACTTGAAGCCAAATTCACTTATTTTAAATCTCACCTGCACTTTACTTTTCTTCTCACGTTGTAAACTAATCTTATGGAAGTAGAATAGTTAAAAAAAAAAATTGCATGAAAAAAAGAATAGAAACTAACAGGTTATAAATATCACACCAAATTGTAAAGTCAATTTCTGCTTTCATAACTAAGAGCTGTTTTTAACAGTTTATTTTAACCTTTATATACAATTTTACATGAAAGCTGAATTTATTATTCATGCTTATGAATATTCTTAAATAAATATTACCTTGTCTACTTATCAACTTTGTTTTACCTTTTGCACTTGCCCTGAAAAAATCCAGCTTTAAATGTTAATGTAATTTAATTTTGTTTCTACATTAAAATTGTAAGAATCTTATGTACACAAATACATTCATTTTTAGCTGTGATCTCATTCCTTTAAAAAGTAAAATAACATAGCAAGGTGCTTTGGGTTCTTAAATAGTGAAGCATGAAGGACTGATCTAAGTAAGTTCCCAAATATGACTACTGTTCACAAATTTCAACAGTTCAAATATAACAATGTTTATATAAAATAGTTATTTAACTTACCAGAAACTTCAACTGTAATTTTAGTGGAAGGGGTAGAATGTATGAAAGAGCCAACCTATGTCACTATCTATATCGATATTTGCAATTCCTGCAAAATGACCCATTAATATACCCGAATTTTTGTTTTCTCTTAAAATTTTATTTATAAAATTTATTTACCTCAGCTTTTAGAAAATTCTCATTTTCTATTGATACATACAGCTATGGCAACTACTCAGTTTTCTTCAATTATCAATGAATAGGTTTAAATATTCATTTGATGTGTTCTTTGTAACCACTGCCTTTATAACTCAATTACAATAAAATGAACACTTGGGAACCTTAATATTTAAATTTCACTATGCTCATATGTACATGTTAAATTGGTTTAAACTAATTCAGATTCTGTGATGACTCTTTGATAGGTGACTATGTCCATTGATTCGTATCCATAGGAAAATCATTAAGGAGATGTGATTCCAATCTCTTATCAGAAATGTGTGTGTTTCAGGACACATGTTTAGGCTAAAATATAAAAATCTATTTAGATTTGATTCAGTAGTAAAATTTAATTATTATTTCAAATTATTTTCCTCTGTGAATCTTCAAAATATAAAAATAATTGTTTCCATCCCACCTGAATTAAAGTCTATACTTCCTGTTTATTTGCCATCCTTTTTCTAAAGATTTTCTAAACTATGTTAATATAAGCACATATGGATTAGCAAAGCATATAGAGAAAAGAGTATTTGCTCTTCAGTAGTGTTTTCTTCATGTTATGATATTTGTTTACAGAATATACGATGAATAATATCTGATACATACATTTGCCTGATGTATCTCAACTTTGAATCCAGGGCCAAATTTAAGGTCTAGTCTTTCTTGGATTATATTTGAGATGAAGTTAGGATTATATTCATTTCTCTTTCTCTCCCGTATTCCATTGCTTCATCTTTCCATGAGAACTCTAAAATTGTCTCTGAAGGGAAAAATTGGGAACTATGGGAGAAACATATTTATCCTTTATGTTAATAATCTCTCAACCTGTTTTTAGAATACTGGGTTACAACTTGATAGTTGGTTCAGAAATCCGTTTGATGGCCCAACATTTGTTTTAATAAATTAATACAATAAGAGAGAAAATATCAAAATGCCTCAGAGGCAATAGAGTTAAATATTTTTTTCTGTTAAACTTTTTCCATGGTATGTGTGTGTGTGTGTGTATGTGTGTGTGCAAACATGTGCTGAGCTATGTGAAAACTGTGGTCATTTTGAATTGTGATCAGAAAACTCTAGTGATAAAGTTACAGTGAGTATCTTACTCTATCCATGTCAACAAGCACATACATAAAAAGATATCTGAACTTTCTTGCAGTACTTTGCTCAAAGCAGGCACTAACACACCATAAATAAAAATCAGGAGACCCAATCATTCCATCCTCACTGTCAGACACACTGTCATGGATGCTTGTGTGAAATACCTGGCACCAGTTTTGCACCTGAGAGTGCAGACACGGTGCACTGAGCTAAGGAAACTACATGAAGGAGGTACAGAGTGAGGTGTTGTGCAAACAAGCGACTTTCCTCATCTCAGGCATCCTCTGTGCATCCTCCTAGTGTCAGAATTTTAACATCCCAAATAAGGACAATATATTAATAGTTTTTCCAAGTGTTTTTTCCCCCTCTTGAACTGAATCAAGCTCATTCCATGAATAAAAGGCATATTGGGAACAATTATATGTATTTTTAAATATATCCCCACTCTTGTAATAATTTATCATTGTTTACTTGCTAAGCTCTGTGTCTCCTAACAATTCTTATCTATAGGACATACTCATTTCATCAAACCCTCAGAAATTCCGTTGTTTTTAGGAAGCCTTCTTGAACTAATTGGAAAAGAGTAACACCCCTCTCTCTTTTATCTTAAAAACCTAAGTCACTGTGTTCATTGCATACAACCCTTGGCTTTTCACATAATATGTGCTTTCTTAAATGCCCAGCTTTCCTTTTGTCATTAATATTCATTCTTACCATTTTCTTACTTACATTAGCTACTGCAGAGGATAAGGACCATCTGTTACTTCACTTCTTAGGGCATTTTGGACAGGGTTGTACACAAAACAATGTTTGAAAAATGAATGCCATGATCATTCTATTTAAAAGAGAAGAGTCATGTTCCCTCTCAATATGATATCATTTTATTTCCCCCAAATGATATTCTTTATATTTTTCTAAATCAGATTTTATGGTAACTATATGTTCCTAAATGAGAGTTTTCTTCTAGACTTGTACAAATGTGAACACTAAAAATGAATTCTTCGTCCTTTTCCCTTTCGCGGCCTCCCTTGGAAATCCCTTTTATGCTCCCCTCATGGGAAGGCCAAAATAGCAATGCCTTTGAGTGCTTCTCCCCTAGGAGCGTTTTCCATTTCTTTCTGTGAAGGTCTAGAGAGACAAACGTTTTCTTAATGAGTTGGCTGCCTGGGCAGTCTCCGTTAGTGGCTTCCATGCCCTTCTCCCTCACAAAGACAGATCCCATTACACTCCCCAGATGGAGGGCTGCCCTTCTGCAGGGATTTGGAATACTCACGGGCACAACGTAAAGGCCAGCCCCACCTCCGTAGTAAGATATGTTTTCACTTGGGGTGGGCCTTCAGGATTCTGCAAAGCAGCAAAATGCATCTTCCTAGACAAACGCTACCCACTGTCCACTTCCTCTTTCTGCCTCCGTTTCTCTACCTCCCCTTCAGTCTCCAGGTGTCTCTTTTGTCTGCTCGCTAAATCCCTGAGGCCCCGTGCCAATGCCCCTGCATGCCATCAGACCTTTTCTAACACTGTCTCTCATCAGCCTCTTCCTATTCCACTTTATGATCTAGATCTGAAAAATAAATCTGGGATATTATGAAAGTAGGTCTATGTGGTGTCCTGTTGAGCTATCAGACTTGCATTTTTACAGAGGTCTTCCTGGACATAGAATATCGGTGGAATTTCTGGTAATCTGATGATATATATGCAAGTGTTGATCAGGAATGTACTTTCAATCTTTCATTTTTTTCTTTCTGTCATGGATTCCACAAACATTTTTCTGTGACTTTCAATCTCATGTAGATAAATATCTGTTCATCCCATACTTAGGGCTTGGGTTCCTGTATATTTATAAACTAATGGATTTTTTTCCTTAGCATTTGTAATGCGCAAATGAAAGCCTTGTAAATAGAGACAAGTAACTAGTTTGGTTTAAAAAGAAGTAAGCAATTGATTTTACTTGATTCTTTCATTGAAATATTATGCTGAGTATTTATGCACTGCTTATTATAAACCAAACACTCTGCTAGTATTATTTTATTAAACACTCGGAGCAACCCTAGGAGGTAGGTCATATTATTATGCCCATATTATGGATAAGGGAACCAAAGCCATAGAGATTAATCAATAGATTCATACAGCTAGGAGTGAAGAAGTCGAGTTGTGACATAGGTAATCTGTCAAACTATTGTGCTCAATCCGAGCAATCAAATCAGTTAAAGATGTTGACTCATAATCTTTCCTTGGTTTGCAGATGCATACTAGCTTTGAAAACAAGCACTATCTAAGGGGAGTCTGACTTTCTTCCAGACAGTGATACAGAATGCCAATTTATTTTTAATGTATGTATATATAGATTCCATTAAAATAACATGTATTGGCTGAGCTGTTAGAAGCTGACAAATACTATTGGTTCACTGTACACTCTGATTTTTATTCTCAAATTCAGGTGGAACCATTTTAGTTACAATCTGCTTTATTTCTAAAGTTACTTAATTCTGCAGATTTTTTTTTAATTCCACTGGGAATTACCAGACACCAGGGATAAGAAAGAATAATAAGAAATATCTGCCCTCAAGGAGTTCATCCTTAAGCGGATGAAGGAGAGAAAGGATGATAATTAGAACACGCTGGTGCTCTGTAAAGACCTGTACATTCTCTTGTCTTTGCCATAGGTACCATTTCTGTCAACACACTGCGCACGCCCTACACTGCTCCTGGCGAGAGTGAGATTTTGGACCTGGATGATGAGTTGTACCTGGGGGGCTTGCCAGAAAATAAGGCTGGCCTTGTCTTCCCCACCGAGGTGTGGACTGCTCTGCTCAACTATGGCTACGTGGGCTGCATCAGGGATTTGTTCATTGATGGCCAGAGCAAAGATATCCGGCAAATGGCTGAAGTTCAAAGTACTGCTGGAGTGAAGCCCTCGTGCTCAAGGGAAACAGCAAAACCGTGCCTTAGCAACCCTTGCAAAAACAATGGCATGTGCAGGGATGGGTGGAACAGATACGTCTGCGATTGTTCCGGAACAGGCTATCTCGGGAGGTCCTGCGAGAGAGGTAAGATTCCAAAAACCCAGCAGCCAACTGCCTGAGGTGAAAAGTATATTAAATGTTGACCTCAAACGTGAACTGATCGTTGAAACATAATGTATGCTCCACTGAAGTAAACTCTCTCTGCAAGCTGAGCAGCCATACCTGACATGGATTACTGATGAACTCTTAATGATTTTCAAAGGGCTTGATTCTGGGAAGACACCGTTCTTTAAGTATATTGCAGGAATAGAAATTTAGATCCTTAATATCCTTAAAGGTATGAGCCTAAGATGTATTATAGACAATAGCTGCTGTCTTTTTTGCCCAGTTTTAAACTTTGGGACACTAGACAGAAAAAGAGGCATGAATTCAACATATCTATGACCTCCAGTGCTAATTCCTATGCTAAGAAATAGCTTTTGAGGCAAGTTAAGCTGTTAAGTTGCAATTCCCTGACACATTTGGGTGAGACTTAAGTCAGCCTACTCATTTCACTTCAGTCAGCTTACCCAAGAGGCAATATCCTCTTTGAAAAGTAAGCTGACTTTAAATCATCTACACCCATGTTTTTGGAAGTGTACCCTAATTGGTAAGGCACTCACCTTTGCCTGGGACCTAACTGATTGCCAAAGATTCATTCACCTTTTTGATATTAAGGTGTAGCTGTGCCTGTTGACGTTCTGAGCAGGTACCTCCTCTCCATCTCTAAGAGGAGGCAAAGCTCCAGTTTTCTTCTCTTTTCTTTTTTTTTTTTCCTATTCTTCTTCCATTAAAAGGAGAGAAATAAGGGTTAAAGGAAAACTTATGGGTGATAGCTCTCACAGCTGAGCTACAGAGCAGGCTAAAGCAAGAAATAGCAGAACAAATAGTTCTAAGCTTATTCTTCCATCGACCCAGTGTTTCAGATAAATGCTTTAGTCACTACTCCCATTGTCATTTAATTTTCAACAATGGAACTAAAAATCAATACAAAAAATATTGATGAGTTTTTTTATTGTCCTTTCATGTTACAAATAACATTGCTCTATTAGATATTTAGCCTGAGAGTATATGGCATCTATTTTTTTAAGATGTGAACATTTAGGTTTTTTTCTTTTATATTCTTGAAATAGTTTATTTCATTTAACCTAAAACTTCCTAGAGAAAAAAAATGATTGTTTTGAAAAACCCAAAATTGCAATGTGATTTTGGCTCTTGATCTTAACAAGAAGGGACATAAGCTTATCAGTTGTATGATTAGTATTAATATATATGAATAATTATTAATAATAAATTAATAATATAACAATATATTAAACAACTTACCAAAATGCTATCACTATTCTGCATCATACAATTAGATAGGTGAATAGATGGTTAAGTATTTTATCACATAGCTGTATTCATTCTCCCTGGAATAATACCTACTTGCAATTCCTGTGAATTGTAATTACAGCTTTTCTCTGTCTGTGTAGTTTGGTTTGTGTATGTTCTTTATAAATTTCTTCTTTGCATTTTTCTTCCTAATTCTAGTTTATGTTTGTTTAGCTTGGTTTTTGGAAATTGCCAAAAAGGGTCGGGGAGAGTAACAAAGCTTGCAAGGTATAATAGAATTAGGCATAATATGAGATTAGCAGACTTGCATGATTTAAGGTTTTGTTTTAATTTTAATCACTCAGAGAGCTGCCAAGTATTCTGATGCCTCTTGGTTAAGTGAAGCTGGAAAAGGGTATAACTCAACCGTCACACGAATTAGAAAAGCTTTCAGTTAAATATGCATGGTGTACCACCCTGTGGCAATATTCCATTACTACATATGGCAAAAATAAGAACGGAAATTGTAGAGCTTTCTGAGCCAGAATGAAAGAAAGGGAATATTTATATATTGCAATGATTAGAAGAAGGGGCAGCAAACATATGTAGATTTGCAAATGAGAACTTAATAGCAAACTTCATCACTGGGATTCAGCACACATTTTCATCTGACAAGAGCCTGGAAATTTCTGCAGATATCTTTGTCTCCAGGTTGGTTGTATGTTGAAGAGAAAATGGTCATTTTGCTGTGGTTCTTGTTTCTGGACTACCTGAGTGTGTTTTAAGAAGTCTTTGCTTTTCAGAATTAATTTTCTTGCTTACATTATGGCGCTTCTTGAGATCAAGGGAAATATAGGATGGTTGTCATGCTCAATACCACAAAATTTGGAGTCTTTCCAGTTCCCAGGTATGCCGTGGTTCAGTTATCATGAGATCATACCTGATCCTCTGAAAATCCAATTCCAAAGAAAGAACTTTGAATGAGTTTCTTCTCCAGATGCTTTCTGATCACATAAAGCTGATCAAATGAATTGATTGACAAATCTTGAAATTAAAAAAGAGCACTTATAAAGTTTTTCTTTTGTTATTATAGAGCAATAATTGATAATTTATGAAGATAATTATTCAAAGTAATTAAAAAATGTTCAGGTCCTTGAATATTGCAGCATGGGGAATGATGTTGCAATTATAGGAAATTTTCATCTTGCATTAAGGAAGCAAAGGGGTTTATAAGAAAGAACAAAATATTTGCTAACTTAGGCAAATAGTATTTTGCTTTCCTGTATTGGTCCTATAAGAAAAAGTAATACAGAAATAATGGTCAGTAAATATAAGTTAAATTTGGCAACTTCCCTCCTGCTTTAATAAAACTGAGAATTTGTGGAGGCTGGGCCATATAGAAATTATTCTCAGTTATATTTAAAACAAGAGCATTGGTATAATCAGAGGTCTACTTTATATTTGTTTGTTCAGACTCTAACAGATGGAGGGACAGATGTCAGAGCCATATAATTTGGCTCCCTGTCTGATTTTCATCGTTGATCACAATATGTGAATGCCTTTCGGCAAAACCGAGCACAGGTGTACACTTTAGACTGCAACACGGAATAATGCAGAAAAGCAAATTTATCAAACTTAATGACAAGGGAGAAGGAGATATAGAAGACAAACTTGAAGCTATTTTTCTCTCCCACTGGGAAGTATTGTATTAGAATTAGCCTTTTAAGGATTCTTTTATGTTCTAAATGATAAAATAATTTTACTAATGTTAAAGAATGCTGTCAAATAGCATAACCTTCAAATGTCAGAATATTGTTTACCATTTATTTGGAAACTCTAGACTGCAGCCTTGTACATTTTCCATTTCTTGCCTAATTAAACATTAACTATAATTATGAGGAATCATTTAGGCTTTCATTTGTCATCTATCAACAAGTTATTTTCACATCGAGAATTATTTAAAATGGCACTTAGGGGCACTTGAGTTTTATTATTTTATTATGTTATTTCAGTCGTGCAGCTTTTGGGAGAATGTTAAAGGCCAATGATTCTGGTTAGTTCTCTACTCTAGATGGTATTTCATACTATATTTATGATCCATTGCCAATTATGTATATTTCCAAAAGGATATGCCCCTACTTAGTTTTAAATAAAATAAAGCTACTTTTCATAGAAGAATATGATTTAAAATATGATTATTGAATAATGGAGACTAGATGTATAGATTAAATAAATAGAAGGAGAAAACTAACATGGTTTTCATGCTTTTATCTTTATGATACCAAAGTAACTGAACAATTGATAATGGCTTTTAAACTTTTATTCAGGTTGCTTTATAGATATTCAACATGATTGATTATAGTTTAGGAAAGAAAAGTAAAGATCAAATTTCTTTTAAAATTATACCAGAAACACTTTTTTTCTAGAATTCATTACAACTTTACAATCATGTTTTAATTATTTCTTGAACAACTACTACTTGAATATCTGCATTAGCCTCTCTCCTTTGTGATTTTGCTCCCATTTAGGAAACTTCTTATCTAATTGGAAAAATATGTGATATGTTGTAGACCCACTGTATTTTAAGAAAATCAGATTATTTTCTCAGTGCTCACATCATTGCCTAACCATGGGGCCCCTACTTTGATAAGTAGACACTTTTCTTAGTCTGTCTTTTGCAGCCCAATTTTGGCCTTTGAAGTAGACTTTATTAAATATTTTGTTCACACACATTACAGAAATTAGAATCCACTTACAATAGACAGAATAAATATCTGATTTATTTGATGAGCACTTATGTAAGCTTGGTACCCAAACGGAAATAAGCTATTTCATATATACACACATATATGTGTGTGTTTTTTATATATGTGCAGCTGTCAATTTAATGAATATTTATTGAGGCTCAACTGGGTGACTGGCACTTTTTTGAGTCACTCATTGCTCATAGAGCAATGCATAAGAGAGACTGATTTCTGCCCTAAAGGCATCTGTATTCTAAAGGGCAAATGCAGATAAACTGTACAAACAAATAAGAAATGGTAGTTTCAAAAAAAAAAAACGAAGTGGTAAATAGATATAAAATAACTGGAGAGGAGAGTAGGCCTCTCTGGAGTAACATTTGACCAGAAACCTAAATGCCAAAGGAACCAACCATTTAAAGTTCTAGGGTAAAACCTTTTAAGACAGAGGGATCCGTAGGTGTAGACCCTCCAATGAAAGCATGAATTGATGTGGCTGGAGCTCACTAAATGGGGTCAGGAGGAAGGAGAGATGCTATAAATTAAGTCCACAGAGATGGGCTGAGGTCCAGGTCACACTGATCTTTATAGATTAAAAAAAGGAGTGCAGATTATCTTCTAATTACAGTAGGAAACTATTGGGGAGGGGTATAGTTTAAGCAGTAGAATGATATGATTTGATTTTTTTCTTTAAAAGTTTAGCTTGGCTGCTAGGTGCAGGGAGAATAAGTAGAAGTAGACACCATTGAGGGAGCTATTATAGTGGCAAAGGTGAGAAACCATCAATTCAAGAAATGGATTGAAATTAGAGCCTATAAGATGTTCAGACTTACAAATAGACGGGGCATGACAGAGAGGGTAAAAGACAAGTAAGACATGTTTGGGTCTGAACAGTGGGGTTATACCATTTACTGAGATGGAGAAAACTAGAGAGGGAGCACGTTTTGAGTTCATTCATTTTCGGGGGAGTGAATTAAGAGTTGAGTAAGGTGCCTATCATATTGCAGTTGGAAATGTCAAATAGGCAATGGATGATAGAGCTCAGGAGAGAAATCAGGACTGTTGGTAAGTATTAGGGGAGTGAGCATGTGAGTTGACCTCTTAAGTCAAGAGGTAGATGGAAAGAGAAGGGAGCCAAGGAGGAAGACCTGGAACACTCAGTGCTCAGAGGTTCTGAATGCAAATTCAATCCCGTGTTGGCAACAAATAATGATCAAAGTCTGACAGAAACAATACTTGACTCTCTGGACTTTCTGAAAGATAAATTTGCAAAGCCACAACTTCAAATAGAATCCTAATAACATCAGTAAAGTTAATTGCTGTGCCATGTAAATAGGCAAAATAATGAGGATCGCCTAGTTTATTTTAATCCCAGATAGTTTTTCTTTTATTGAATGGTATTCTGAGTTATTGGAACCAATGAGAAAGCAAAATGACTCACACTTGTTTTGCAGTATTCCACTACCATATGGTGTTTAACACTAAGGGGTGCTATTTCTTAAAGCAGTTAGTTTGTCACGAACAGTTTTTCTATTCATTTCTTTATTTAATATCACAATAAGCAACTTCCTTATTATTATAAGACCATCTACCTCAGCTTAGTAACACACATCCTTACAAATTCCTCAGTCCCACCTGCATTTTTATTCAATATAATCAAACCACATTGTTACTGACTTTTGGGTGTTAGCTTAATATATTTAGGACATTAGCATTGTGCCTGTAAATAATGTTTTCAGTTACCCCTTATCTGTAAATGAACTTTAAAATGTAATTATAGTTTGCGCCTTTGTAAAAATTACCTAGTTAAACATAATGGCTCAAAAGAAGCATCATCTGTTTGCTAATATCAGTTTTTCTTTTCTTTTTTTTTGAATATCACCTTTGGTGAAGTATTGGCCTAATTCCTAAATTTAAGTCATGGTCCTCTCTTTTTTTTCTTTTCCTTTTTTTAAAAAAAAAATCCATTAGGGCAGGAATTATGACAAAAATGATAAGAGTAACTTTTCTTAGCACTATGAATTTTTAGAGCAAGACAAGGCCCTAAAGGTCCTCTAGTAGCACCCCCTCATGTTGCAGATGAAGAATTCAGAGCCAAGGCAAGGTTGAGCTAGCCGGTGGTCTCACCATACTAATAAGTAAATGTGCATTAAATAATTGCTGGTCTTTCAAACCAGGCTTACATTGTGGTTATGCAAAAGAATAAGATCTCTGCTTTTGAGGAGAGAGACATCTGTAAGCACTTATAATCCATTAAGATTAATGCAATAGGTAGACAGTGCTATGGGAACAAAAAAGGAACTGCTGACATCTCTGTTTCTGGGCTTCCTCCTTATTGTGACTTCTCTTTCCAGCTTAAAAATAATTGTTTATTTCTGAAGACGAGCTGATGTTGTAGTATTGTGTCTATCTAGAAGTCTTTAATAGATCACCCTTTTCTTTTTCAAGGTATAAATGCACTAAACTGACCAAGAACTTATTATATTAATTTTCCATCTATAGAGGCAACGGTTTTGAGCTATGATGGGAGTATGTTTATGAAAATCCAGCTCCCAGTGGTCATGCACACGGAGGCTGAGGATGTATCCTTACGGTTCCGATCCCAGCGTGCATACGGCATTCTAATGGCAACCACTTCTAGAGATTCCGCAGACACCCTCCGCCTGGAGCTAGACGCAGGGCGTGTGAAACTGACGGTCAATCTAGGTAACAACTTGCCTTCCCCCATTGAATTAACACTTTTCACTTTTTGTTCAGTTTTGCCTGCAAACATTTATCAAATAGCCTGTTTGCCATGGAAAGTTAAACACTTAATGGTCTTATTTCCATCATTTAAAGTAATATAGGTTTGTTTGGACATCTTTTTATTGTTTTTTGTTGTGTTTAACATAACTTACTGTTTTGTGATTCCTACCACTGAGGATTCTTAAAAGGGAAGCCATAACTATCAATGAAGTTAATGGAAAACATAAATTATTAGGCTTGACGATGCCTCAAACTGAACTTCCTGTTGTTAACGTTTACTGACATTTCGGTTGGTTATAAATGATATCCTTGCAGATCCATAAAATCTGTTTACTTAGATAATATTCACACAAAGTATCAAATTTATGATTGTTATCTAGATCAGCAGTTGTTCTTACTCCATTCCATGGCTTCTCCTTTGAGTAGTTACTTTGTGGTACTTCATCTTTTCTGTTTTGGCGTACTGTGTGGTGATAGTTTGCTATCAAACAGCGATCCACAACCCTTCAATGCCCAAAGTCTGCGGCCCTTAGCAAACAGCCATGAGAACACTAAAGACACAGGCTCTTCTACAGAAAGACAATGCTTTCCTGCTTAATTGTAGCACTGAGGAAAAGTCGCTACAGTAAAACCTCACCAATCTGGATGAATTATGGGGAAAAGCCAGGCTGAGTTAAGAAAAAGTCTGAATTATAGATTAAAAATGTAAGCAGTTTTTATTGTTTTCGATTAATAGCTTTACACTCAAAAACACAATTAATTGATGGAAAAATCCTGTCCAGGAAAGGGCTTAGTAGGCTTATTTTAATGAATTATCCATAATTAGCGCATTGTTTCATGCAAATTGTGTCATCAATGTATATTGAAGTACTTGAAATTAGTTTTCTTCTTGAATGAACTTGGCCTTTCAAAATCTGGCTTCTGTTTTAAAAAGAAGAAAATTTTTTCCAGGAGAACTCACTCATACTGAAGGAAAAATTAATATTCTGCCCAATAAGTTTCAATATTATCCTTAACTCCAAAGAAGAGGAGTAAAAATTAATGAGGTTTTACTGTATTTCCTGAAAGTGTTAAATACACACAGAAATGAATAAACAGAGAGAGAAAAATAAAATTTGAAACCATATAGATTTGCAAAAAGAGTAATAAGATGTGATAAGGTAAGGCCATTTGTGGAAAACCCACCTACATTTTCAAATTGTGCTGGGCAGAATGCTAACTCATAAAATATAAAATTATCCCATTGGTAGCTTAGTGCATATAATTACATTTAATTAGTGAAATTAAGTTAAATAATCAGGTTTTTTTTTTAAATACTAAAGAACACACAGCACTCACTTACTGTTCTGTTAGAGTTCCCTCTAGTGACAAAGACAGGTTACTACAAGCCAATCAAAATAAATCGCCTAATTGCTTTAAAGGGGCTGTTAGCCCAAGTGGAAGCACTCCTGGGAATGTTTCAACAGCAAAGCATTCTGTAGAAAGAGTGGTGTAGGTGCTGGTCCTTGGCTGTTTGCAACCACTTTTCTGATGCGGTTGACGACACATGACAAACTCAGCTATATGGAAACAGAATCTAGGTTTATATTTTTCATGTTCCCCAAAGGCATTAAATACTAAAACTAAAACCAACAGATATATATCTCTATATAAAATAAACATAAAGTATTCCATGCAGTCGTTTAGAAATAACCATTATAATTACACCAGATATTCTGTTCTTATATTAATAGCATCTAATTTCATATGCAGCAAGTATAAAAAAGGGCAAATCAATAGCATTGTTAACTGTGACACTTATTACATAGAGATAACATTGTTAGCTCCTAAGAAAGGCATAGGATTGTGTGTTCTGAATAATGACTACTCCTTAGCCACCAGAGTTTCTAAAGAAAACATACAGTTGTTTCTTTCCTCCTCCAATTAATACAAGTTATGGAATCTAGCCAATTTTTATTCCCAGCAAATAAAATGTAAAAACAAAAGAAAACAAAACATTAGCGTGAGATGAGAATGATTTTAACTTGCTCTCCATTCAACCAAGGCAATTCTGAAGGATTCTGTTGGCCTTTGTGGGATATTAGATTTCGGAGGTCCAAGATGTCTGAGTCTAGCTGAGCTTGCACTGTATACCCCATTGTGACGGAGCACTTTTTAATTTTGCCGAAAACAATGATATGTTCTTTCACAGATGGGGAGAAAGTTGCAGCCAGGCTAAGCCAAGCATCTTTGACATTTAACAACTCTTTATTTCACTTAGATTTGTCACCATGTAGCTTTGTTTGAATTGGCCATCTTTTTTAAACCTTCTATTGTTGTTTCCAATGGTGAATTTTATGACAATAAATCTGGGTCTTAGAAGTATGTAAAGAATAATGATATGCAGTGGCCATATTTGCATGTGTCTGTCCCCGGAAGGGTGGACTGTGATTTTATTGGATGTCTGCAGCTATTACCTTGAAGGATAAATTTTCATTTTTCATCTATTCTTCCCCATCTAGATTGTATCAGGATTAACTGTAATTCCAGTAAGTGCCTATTCAAAATTTTTAAAATGTTATTCCTCCATTATGATGTAAGCTAGGCAAGAAAAAAAAAAGAATGAGAGAGAAAGCAAGAGAAATGTGTTTATGAAACTCATAAACTTACTTTTGAAGTATACCAGTCCATCATCTGGGTTGTAAAAATTCATTTTCAAATCTATACAGCTGAAGAATTTTCCACTGCAGTTCCTACCTCTAAGTGGAAAAAGAGATGATGAGAATTTTGTAGCAGAAGGTGCAAACACCTCTGTAGACCTTCAGGTACTGGAGGTGGCATTTATGTTTTGCCATATTTTGGACTCCAGTAGTTCTCTTCATAACCAAACAGAAGAAAATACTGTGGGTCTTATTTCCTTCTATCTTTATTTCTTAACTCAAATATATAAAAATTGTTTAATTTCTCTCACTTTGAATTACTATTAAATCCTTCTAAACTCAACTAAAGTTTAAATAGGAAAATGTCTTTTTCCAGGTTATATGTTCATAGAAAATTACTTGTCTAAAGAGTTCTTTCTTGATTATTAAGAGTATTTACATAATGAATTTTTACATCCTAATCATATATCTGCAAAAGTAACCAAAACCCTTCAAATTTGTGACATGCATGCCAAATGATGAGTCAGAAAAGATGCATGGACTGGATTTTGTTTGAATTTGGACTAGAGACCACCTGAAAGGATACAAGGACTGTGATTTTATTTTGATTTATAGCATTATCTTAAGAGTAAATTTATTTTATTTCCTGATTTATAGCATTATCTTAAGAGTAAATTTATTTTATTTCCTTACATAAATGTTTAGGTTTTTCTTTTCCAGGTTTTGCTGATCACATTAAGAAATCTCCAATGATCACAAAGTCATTAGCTATTTAAATAAAATGGTTCTAACAAACTTCTATTCTCTCATTGTCATACTCAGTAAAAAAATTTTCCTATATCCTTGGGAAAATGCTGAATGTGTGTTGATGGAATCTGCTCCCCAAACCATTGGTTGTGTTTTCAGTGCCAATAAGTCATCCTCTGAGGAACAAAATGGTGGTCTTAAACTTACAAAAACAAGATAATTTTTCTAATAAAATACATACTATTTCAAAAACTGCACTTCTTACAACTCATGGTTTTATTTATATATTTTAATATTTATTTTAAAGTAGCATAAATGTGAGTCTGTCCAATCACAGCAATAAAAAGTTAATTAAATCATGATATATTACAAATTAACTTAATAAGTTATAACCAGCATACCAGGCATTAAAAATCATCTCATACAGAATGTTCCTGAAAATAATCTCTCGAAGCTCCCACACAAGTGGAATTTTTCAAGTAAATATCATCTCTTCTCCAACCCTATTACTTACTTTTTGAAAAGGAATACATATTTTGTATGTCTGATACCGTGGTCCAGATTGCTTTCAGCTTTAGGGTATAAATGCAGGCACAGCAATAACTCCTCAAATATTCTCTCCCAAAGCCATATTTGTGCGTCAATGTAATCATAGATTTTCTTGATCCTTCCTGAATCTTAAAAAATCCATATGGGGAAGATATTTCTTTCTAGACCTCTATTTTATGTACTCTTTTTATTTTATTTATATAAAGCATACAGTAAAGAATGGACTTTAAAATTTACAAAATATAACTATGTAAATTCTAGCAATTGATGGAAATGGACCAAATAAAATGTGATTCTGTGTTCTATAGCTACATCAAAGATTTTAAAAAAACATATGTGCATAGTATAATTGCCCTTGTTAGACTCATTTCCTCATTTGGCTTTTATCATGAAACTCTGATATTAAGAATAGTCTTTTTATTCCTCTGGATATTCCACAGAATAATACCCTTGAGGACAAAGGTTTATGCTGGCTAGTGAAATTTTTCCCTTTTTGAAGAGTATGTGTTACATTTAAATTACTTGAATTAAATGAATGATTGTGAGCTTTCAGTGCATACCTTGGACAGGACTGCAAATGCCTTAATTTGACAGCAGTCTCTGGAAAGAACATTCAGTGAATGACCAGGTAACATTTTCATATCCTTTTGTCTTTGTTTTATTTGGGGAATAGTGGGCAGATGTAGTAGAAAACCCAAGTTCTGTAAAGAAGTCTCAACTTTGAGTAAAGGCAGGAATTTACATATCAAATAATGCAAAACTATCTCAGTGATAAGATGAGCAGAGATTTCCACCTGGAGTGCATTTTAGGAAATTTTATTGAGCAAGCTCAATAAAAAATAAATTTAAAATATCTGTATCTCAATTAGACTGATAATTTTGATAACTTAGTGAAAGACTGATTTATTATGTGTAGCCTCTGTGAGCCATAGGTTTGTCTGAAACTGAGAAAATGAATGCACCTGTATTAAATCACAGCTGTATAACACCACCATCTCTAAAGATTTTACCTTATCTAAGATATAAATTGTAGTGTGAGATTAATATGAAATAGCTCCATTGATATACTTTAAGAAAACTATCACAGGAAATATACAAACCATAACATAAACGATTATCTTACATTGAGAATTAGTATTCAATGCTAATGTGTTTGAATGGAAAATTTCCCGGAAAAATTTCTCTACATTTACTTAGAATTGCTCTGCTGTTTCCTGTAGTCATCTTCTCCTTTTCCATTCCCTACTCTCAGGTTTATAGCATCTGTACTTGATATGGAAAAGAAAATAAACATGCAGCAGACTATCCAATCTTTGATACTGAAGAGCAGGTAGTAGTAGGTGAAGAGGGAAGAGGATCGGGCTGCATGTATTCAAAGGGACTGTATGAGATGGCAGACCTGTTTCTGCGTAGTTCCTGCACAGCAATAGAATCTTCCACGGACAGGCTAGGGCACAGCCCTTTGTTAAGTTTCCTCTAAGAAAGGGCAGATCTGAATTCCAAGTACCATACCATCTCTGTCAGATTCCATATTGCCACCATTCTTCCCCTTAAGGGAAAAGCTTTGAAGAATCTTTAAAAGGATGAAAAGGGTCTCTTTTCATTTAAAAATAAAAAGCTTATTTTCATGTGTAGATAGGGTACTTTTTAGAAAAAGAGCTGTCTCTGTGAATAGTGGCTATTTCAGTGTATGTTTTGATCTTTCGGATTACAAACAGACTGACTGCACACAATCCCAGGCCAGTCTCAGTTCATTGATGTTCATTAGCTTATGGCATGGCTAAAATATGTTTGTTGTTCGCAACTTGGAAATTTTTGCAAATTCATGGACTGAAAGGTGAGCACAGAGGTGTGTTATCTATGGCTCTCCAGTCTTGTCTAGGATGGGAATAAAGGGACAGTCAGATTGCCTCCTCCATCATGATTTGGTAATTTTACATGGCAGTTGCTAAAAGAGACACCATCTTTTAATGCAGATAGTTTCTTCCCTAGAGAGTGAAGGACACTTTAATAAAGGTAAATAGGAAAAGAATGTAAAGTCACATTCTTTTAACATAAAGAGGAATAACTATTTGAATTAATGAAAAAAAAAACCAAATTGTAGACTATTTCACAACAAAATTATCATAGAAATCTATACTAACACAAAATAAATGTTAATAAATTATTGCTGAGACTTCAAATTAGACTGAACAAAGTGCTTTTGTGACTAGCACATGAATTATTTGAAAGAAAAGGTGAATGTTTTACAGTCTCTTGCCTGGTCCATAGTATTAATACACTTTAATAAGTCTTTTAGAAAATCTAAAGAATGCAAAAAGAATTTTATATTCTTGTGATATTTTCTCAAGTGCCTTATCAGTAGGGTCTGTACAAGACATTGGTCTTAACTCTGCATTTTTTTGTCTGCCAAAGCACATAGCCTCAGAATTACCAAGATAGTCTCAATTTCAACTTTGGTGCCAAATAATTCCAAACAATACGTCTAAAATCATTAACGTGGTGTTTCTCTATGATTTTTTTTTCTGAAACTTTGGCCTTTGTAGTGGTGTATTGAATGATTAAATAGTCCCATTTTTTTTCTTTCTTTCTTCTTCTAGTAACCTTAAAAATTGTTAGTGCTATAATCTTTTATGGTTTAAATACACTGAAAATTTGAAAACTAAACTTGCTCCTGTCCACTATAGGTGAGTCCTAATTGTTACGTAAGTAACTACTTTAAATATGTAGTGGATGCAGGGAAGCTTTTGTGTTTTTTGTTTTTGTTAGTGTTTTCTATTCTTTTGTTTTTTCAAATCAATGGCATAATTACGGAATGTCCTTCTTGTCCACAGGAGGAGTTGGGGCCACTTCTGCATCCCTATAAAAATGAATTTTAATAATCTCATGATCTCTGGGGCTTATTGTGCTTGTTTGCATTATTTGGCTTTATTTATGCCTTATACATTTGTTTCTTTTCCTGCCCAGTTTTTCTTCCTTCCTTCCCACCAAGATTTCTTCTTCTTCCTTCTCCATTTCCAATGTTGTTTTCTCCTGTCCTCTTGTCTTCTGTTTTCTCACAAGAATAAAAACTTTCTGGGATTAAAAAAATATTTTATTAGGCAGACCTTCTAACTACTTTCAGCTTCTCGTAGAAAATGGTTTATCTAAAGATGCAGAGAAAACAAAATCGTGGATAACATTAATGTGAACAAAGTGTGAAGGGTTGAAGTTCAACTTCTATTTGCAGCTCAATGCCCAAGTATCAGAGATGAAGGGAATCTAAGGGCAAATACTTAACCTCACTTTTGACTTGGATATAGGGAAGAAACACTCTGAGGAGTACATTACTGGAAAATGTGCTTCGATGGATGTCTGCAGTAGATAATAAGATCTTTGTATTATCATTTTATTACCAGAATGAAAAGATCAACTGGATATTAGTTATCACCAATTTTTTATGTAGATAAAAATGCAAAGCAATAAAAGAGTGCAAAATGTCAACCAGTGGCACTTAAGCCATATTAGACTGCTTTGATCAGGCTGCCATTTGGCAAGCTATTTAAAAAGATATGAGGAAATTTCTGGGGGCTGACACTTATTAGCATGAAGTA